GGCGTAAAGGGAGCACCGGGAAGAGGGAGAGCCCTGAGAGAGGAGCCTGGGGCCTGGTGTCATGGCGGAGTCCGTGCAGGCCACACTTGAGCCCCTTGAGGGATTTTTAAATTATTATTATTACTAGAGAAAGGTAAATGGCTCCTGACTTCTCTTTAACCTCTCCCGGTGGTGCTTTAACCTCTCCCGGTGGCTCCATCTCCACACGGGGAGAGAAAACGGGATTAAGCAGGAATAACACCAGCTCGGACGTGGGTTCCCTGTGGGATGAGCTTGGCCGCATTCCCTCGTTTTCTTATTTATTTACAGGGAGGAGAGTTTTAGATCCCCGGCTACATATTAAGTGTCCGGACTGGGTCATATAAATCTCATCCCGGGTGACTCCGCAGCCTTAAAATATCCCGGCTCCGCATGGGACAACACGGCGCGAGCCAGGGAGCTGCCTCCGTTGCTGGGATTGGGATGATTTGGAGACGGCCATGAGGATAATCTGGGAATAGGATAGTGCACAGAGCCCCCAGATGATGGGATAGAGTCTCCCAGCCCCTTTTCCAGGCAATCTGCGGCTGGAAGAAGCAGGAAGAGGTGGGAAAGGGCCCCTCCAAACGGGGGTGCCTCATCTTCCCACCCCCTTCCCTGCCATGACTATATAGGGATCCTCCGGGATCCTCCTCCTTCCATCCCGGCATTTCAGGCGGCTAAAATTAGGCACCGGGAAGGTCCCTGGAGCCCTCACGGACACCGGGAGCCCCCCTGGACACCGGCCCCGGAGGCTCCCTGGCTGATCCGGGTAAGCCAATGCCTTTTCCATGTTTTTTTTTCCCCCCTCCGGTGTCATATTCCCGGCCACGTGCGGCTCTTTCGCTCCCATTTTTAAGGAAAGAGGGGCTTTTCCCTCCGGAAAAGAAATGGGACAGAAGCAGCCCAGAATGAGACATTCTTTTATTCCTGCACATAATCCAGTGATGCAAAAAAACACAGGGAAAAAATAATATTTTACCTCTTTTGTTTCTCCTTCCTTTAAGTTTTGCCTTCAGACGCCCAGGGAAGCCCTCGCAGGAGGCCAATGCAGCGATGGAAACAGGTACAGCCACAAAAACCCTCTTTTTTTGACCACATTTTGGCCACATTTCTTATATTTTAACCCTTCCCTAAGACATTCTCTCTGATTTTGAGGTTTTTCTTGCCCGACAACAAACTCTACTTTGATCCAAAGCTGTTGGATCAGGCGGAAAACAAAAAAATAAAACCATTTAATTGCTCTTATTTCTTTTTTTTTAAGGGAAAAGGAATGCGGATCTTGGTAAGTGATTCTTCTCCCAGCAAAACAAGCTTGTCTTGGATAATATATGTATCCTGTGGCCTCTTTTTGGGGTGGGAAAGTGGTTTATTTGGTCTTTCCCATATTTTAGACTTACATGGGAAAGACCAACTCGGATATAGTGCCACTTGGGGCTGATATTTTCCCTTCTGTCTCTTTTTCAGGGGAATGGGATGCAAAAATTTGTACGTAGCTTAATTTTTCCCCCTTCCATCTCCTTCTCCAAAGCAAAACTTTGGATCTGACATTAATTTTTCTATGATTTTGGATCTGACTTTAATTTTTCTATTTAAAGGGAAGTTAGCAGAAGAGTTTGGTAAGACGTTTACCTTCCTTACACCTATCTCAGTGCAAAAATTAGGCTTTTTAAGACTGTTGCCTTAGCACTGGCCTGAGCTGAGGGGTGTTTCTCTTTATTTTGTATAGAAGAAAGCGACACGGAGCTTGGTGAGTCATTTTGGGGCTTTTTTGGGGGAAAAGGGGGTTCTTTGGGTGAGGTTTGGGGCTTTAGGGAAGGGCAAATTGGGCTGGGTGGCAAATCTTCACGCCTCCAATTTGTGCAAATGCCCCCATAAAACCAAGAAGAAGGGCCCAAACACAAGAATTCTATTCCCAAGCCCTGGAATCCTGCCCCATTCCACTGGGAATTCCTCTTTGGAGGAGACAGATTGGCCTCGTGCTCACAGGAGCCTCTTGCAACTAATTCCTATTTATTTCTCTGTTATTTTTAGAGGAATGCGACACAGAAAATGGTAAGTTCTCGCCTCCAGCTTAAAAACACTGTTAAATAACAGCGTGAATAACAATATTCAGTCTTGAATGGACAAAAGTGGCAAAAATTGACTTCTGTTTCCTCTTTTTTGGGGTTGAAAATGCAGAAATAGGTAAGTGCCACTTTCTGACCTTCATGGAATTGAGCCAGGACCATCTCAGGCACCTAAATCCTTGAATCTGCCCTTATTTCTCCATTTAAGGGGAACTCGCAGCAGAAATTGGTAAGTCCCATTTCCACCTCCTCTTATACGACTGCCACAAAACGCAAAATCGCCCGTTTTCTCCTCAAAAGAGGGACTAAATGGGGTTTAGCACCCCCCTGTTGACAAAAAACCCTTGCAAAAATCAGTATTTTTTTTTCTTTTAAGACAATTTGACAGCAGAGCTGGGTAAGTGATCGCCTCCCTCTTTGCCTTTACATCTGTTTTTTCGCTTCATTTTGGGATTTTGGGTGAAAAGGTGGTTGTCACCCCCCTCCAACACACGCACGAGACCCCTGTGTACCCAAAATGAGCTAGAAATTAAGTAATTGGGTTCACAACAAAAAGAAATTGGAAATTATAACTGCACAAGGGGAAGAAAATGGTGTGGGGAAGGTGGACTGGGATTCATGGCAGGACATGGGAACACATGAAGGCTAAAGAAAAGTTGATTTTTTTTCTCTTTTTTCTCTCTTTTAGAGGAACGTGATAGAAAAATTGGTAAGTGTCCTTTTCTGCACACTTTGGAGCTTGTTATTAGCCCATGTTGGGGGAAAAAACACATTTTGACACATTTTTGTGCCAAAAAAAACATGCAAAAGCTGCAGAAGCAGCAAAATTTGGGCTTTTTGCCTATAAAGATGGTCACATTCCCATTGCCTCTATCAGTGCCAAAGACAAAGCCATGATAGGAGCTAAATTATAGCCCCAAAGAGAAAAAAATAGTATTAAACTGCTTAAACTGCTTAAAACTAATATTGATTTATTTCTTTGCTTTTAGGGAAACTTCAGTTGGACCTCGGTAAGGAGTTTTCTTCCCTTACTGCAAGAGGGAATGGGAATTTGGGGGAATTGCTCTGCATTTCTCTTTATTCCTCTGCTTATTTTTTTAGGAGAGTGTGATGCAAAAATCAGTAAGTGCAATTTCCCTTTTTCTGCAAAATTCAGCATGAGAACAAACCTGCCCCATGTTGCATTAGCCACCACATTCCTGGACCCACCTTCTTGGGGGGAAAGAATTCCCTGATATCCCTTTGGGATAATTGCTAATAATTGGGATAATTGATAATAATATCACCTTTGACATAAAGACAGTAATGGGGGTAAAAAACCCTAATTTGATGGCTCTAGAGGTGTCACAGACCGAAGCACAAAACAGAAATATTTAATAATTCCTGTTTTTATCTTCCTCCCTTTTTTTCACAGAGGAACGTGATAGAAAAATTAGTAAGTGGCCTTTTTTGTTGCATATTTTGGGTAAAAAAACAGGGGATTTGGGGGAGCAGAGTCTTTCTGATGCCCCTCACTGCATGGAGGGGGAAAAACACCCTGACCAAGATGAATATTCCCTTTTTTTCCCCTCTTTGCAGCCAAACTCGCAGCAGAAACACGTAAGTCCTTTTTCTTCCCTTCAAAATGGACAATTTTGTGCTGAGAAGCTCTTTTTTTTTTCCATTCATTTTCTGTGGTATTGCTCAAAAATGTTTGTTTTTTCCTTCTCTTTTCCAGGGAGGCTCAATGCACTGCTGGGTAAGACGATCCCGGGTCTCTGCTCCGCACGGAATTGCGGGATGGGGCCGTATCCGGGCGGAATTTGGGCATCTTTCTTGGAAATCTCCCATCCTAACCCCCTTTCCATGGGGTGTTGGCCTTACTCCTTGCAAAAACAGACTATTTTTACAAAACATAACTAGAAAAATGGGGCAAACCACCTTTGCACCCCAAATATTCCAAGCTTCTCCTTCTGCAGAGCTGTTATCCCGAAGGAAGAGGGCAGCATTGTGCAAAAAAATGGGATTTCTGCTTTTCTTTCCCATTCAGGGGAGCGAGACTCGAGTCTTCGTAAGTGACATTCTTCTCCTGGCAAGTAAAATCTTGGTAAAATCCCTCAAATCTGCACTCCTAAATGAAAATATTGCTTAAATCAACGTTTTTCAGCTCAATAATTACCCATTATGTGGCCAGAGAGGAAAGAAAAGTATTTAAAATCACCCTTTTTTATCTTTTTTTTTTTGCAGGGAAACTCAATGCAGAGCTTGGTGAGTGTTTTTCTTTCCTATTCATGAGAAAACTGCGTTTGGCCAAATTGCTGTTTTTTGAAATTTTGCTTTTTTGGTCAATTTGAGAAATCTGAGAGATTGATTTTTTTAAAAAAAAGACTAATTTGGGTTAACAGAATAGTGATTTCTGCCTATTTGTCTTCATTGTTTCTAGCCAAGTGTGATGCAACCATCAGTAAGTGGAATTTTTACCATGGGGAAACCAGAGACATTGAGGATTCTCCAGGAATTCCAGAAATCTAGCAAGGACTAATATCATTTTTTTTCCTATTTAAAGGGTTATTTACTGTGGAGCTGGGTAAGCCCTTTTCCATTTTATTTTTTGCTGTTGGCATGGCTCTGTTTTCATCCACCTTGCAAAAATCAGAGTATTCAAGGCAAAATTACAGATTAAAACCCTGTCGTCCTACAAAAATAATTGCAAACAGGGGTAACTTGGGCTAGAATAGAACTGACCTTATAGTCTGAATTACAGGGGCAAATATAGATGTGACATGTGAAAGGCAAAAAAAATACAAAGCAAAATAACCTGGATTTATTTTTCACTCCTAGGAGAGCGTCATACAAAAATTGGTAGGTTTTTTGCCCTCCTTCTCTTAAACAATCGAATTTAGCTATTGATAAAGCTGCTTGCTTGCCTTATTTAAGTGAAATATGGTGTTTTTATAAATATGTAGCCTAATTTCTTCAAATAACCTTTTTTTTTTCCCCTTTTGCTTTTAAGGGGAACTTACTGCAGAAGTCGGTAAGTCACTCTCCAAGTAACCTTTAATAGAAAGGATATATTGGTCAAAGAATTGAGAAATTCTTTTATTTCTGTTTTATTTTTAGGGCACTGTGATAGAAAACTTCGTGAGTGTCTTATTTATTCATTTATTTTTCTCCTGTGACTTCTTTTTTCTTGATGTGCTCAAGGAAACTAATTATATTTGCTCCCATTTTTCCATGTTTCCATCACTTAACACATAAACAGTATTATTTAACAGAAGGTTGTGTTAAAAATGTTAATAATGGCTTATTTTGCCACTGAGAAATGAGATATTTTAACAAATTCCTGTTTCTTTTCTTTTCTTAAGGGAAATACACAGTAGAACTTGGTAAGGAATTTTCCCTGCTTTGTTGCAATTGAATTATTTGCACTTTTCTTTGCCTATTTCTGATTTTTAAGGGAAGGAAGGGGCAGCTTTCTGCTTTAATCTGTCTGAGAAATATTATTTTTCTCATTTTCAGAGGACCGTGATGCAAAAATAAGTAAGTGCAGCCACCCCCAAGCCCTGTCTGTGCTTAACATCATCCCAGCGGTCGCTGTTCATTTACTATTTTTAATTATGAGATCATGGAATTGTGGCAGCTTCTTGGGAAGTGCTAATTTAACCCTGGACAAGCCCCATTTTTAAGCAAAAAAGCAGCAATTGTGCCAAGTAGAATAAAACCATTGAAGGGCCTGAAAAGCTGTGCTGATAACATGGAGAAACAACAAAATTCAGCATAATTATTAATTAATTATAATTATTCTCTTCCAGGGGAGCATGAAGCAGAGATAAGTAAGTGACGTTTTCCCTGCTTTTTCCAATCTGCACCTAAAAAGAGCTTTGCCTAAAACTGTTGTTTTTTTCCTCGTTTTCAGGGAGACTTACAGAGCTGCTGGGTAAGTGTGTTTCTTTTTGCACATTTTAGCAGAAATCCTGCTAAATTTTAGCAGAAATCCTGCTAAATTTTAGCAGAAATCCTGCTAAATTTTAGCAGAAATCCTGCTAAATTGCAGCTACCTGCAATGCATCATCCAAAAAGAAGAGAAAAAAACAGTTTAATAGCTAGAAAATGGGTCATTTTTGAAGTCACGAAGAGGGAGGTTTTAGGGAAATCCTGCAGAAAAGAAGTTTGGTGCCAATTTCTCTTCCTCTCTCTTTTCTCCCCAGAGCACCAGGATTCGGAAGTTCGTAAGTCCATTTATTTTTCCTTTTTATTTGCAGCTGTCTCATGGCATCTCCCTTCATTGCATCCACAACCCCCAAATTTAGGGGTTTTGCCCAACAAGAATCATAATTAAACTTTGCTAAGCCAGATGTGCCGTGCTTATATGTTATATACAGGTAAAATAGGAGAAAAATATTCATTTTATATTCATTTTTCCTGTATTTTTCCTTTCCTTTTAGGAAAAAAGGATGCCACAATCAGTAAGTGTATTCCTATTTTTGGAGGAGAACAACCCTTTGGTATTCCTAAGCAATTCCTTGAGCTCCCTTGCACGGGAATTGCACTGATGAGAACAAATATTATTTATTCCTTTTCAAGGAAAACTGACAGAAGAGCTTGGTAAGCCCCTTTTGTCACTTTTACAGATCTAATTTTGGATTTTTTGTGTTTATTTTGTTTTTTAATCATGTTTGTATTGGACCAATTATGTTCACTCTTAATATAAATTTAGAAGGAAACAAGTAAAGGACTAACACAGACTTTTTAAAAATAAAATAACAGATAGCATAGGGGAATTGGTGATGGACTATAAATGATCCTGTATCTTGATATAGAAATACATTATAAAATAGGAAAAAAAAAACACATTTCACTTCTTTTTTTCCATTCCTTTAGAGGAAGTCGAGGATCTGGAAGCTGGTGAGTGATATTTTTCCCTCCTATGTTATAAAAAATAGGTAGTTTCAAGGGAATTTAAATACACAGTAGTATATGCATGTATGTGTGTATACATATAGCAATATATTGGACTAAAATCCAGTTTTTCTGCTTTTTTCCCCTTTTTTTAGGGGAACGTGATGCCACGGTTGGTACGTGTCCATCTCCTTCCCTTGCTAACCATAAATCAAAGGTGTATTTGTGAGAAATGCAGAAATTCATCATTATTATTGCCTTTAAAATTCAACTTAGGGCTTTGTGCACTTAATTCCACGGATTTTATGTGCCTACAACTAGCAATTTTCAAGCCTACTCTGAAAATTATTTAAAAAATGATGAAAATGATAATTAAAGTCTAAAGGATTGTAAATAGAGGAAGAGGATATTAATGAAAATCTCTATTTTTTCTCTCTTTTCAGATGCACTCTCTGCAGCAATTGGTAAGCATGTTTTCTCCCTTCCAGCAAAACAAATATACCCAATTTCAGCTCTGCATTTTGTTTTTATTCAGTTACAGAGTTTGTATTGACCATTTTGATCTTTTTTCCTTTTATTTAGATGAGCGTGACAGAAAAATTGGTAAATACCATGGTTTTTTCCCTGAAAAGAAAGTTTAGACAGGCTGTAAATTTTATTTCTTGATTTATTAAATTTTCTATTTTCTACCTTTTAAGCTGAACTCACTGCAGAGCTTGGTAAGTCTCATTTTCTTTCATTTATTGAAAGATTGGGTCATTTAATTCAATTTTAATTCATTTAATTCATTTGTTTAATAAAAGACGCAATTCTGAGCTGCTTTGGGGAATTTTATGGAAATCTGGACTAATGGGAATAAGGTAGAAAGATAAATTCCTTCTGCTTTATAATAAGCAGTGCAAACAATAGTAATCAGTAGGCACTGAAATATAGGATTTTTTTGAAATATATTTGTTTTTGCTATGCAAAAAAGTGGATTTATCCAATAATTGCTTCCGTTTTTTTCTCTTTTCAGAGGAATATAAAGCAAAAATGAGTAAGTGCCTCTTTTTCCTTTCCTTTTGGAACATGAACTGTAGACACCCTTAGAATAGGAAAAGCATCATTAAAACCCTTTTTTTCCCCCTTTTTAATAGGAAAATGCAGTGAAGAACATAGTAAGTGCCTCTTTTCCCTGGATAACTTTTGGCTTCGGCTTGAAGTTCCCATCGGTGCTAATAATGATTTTATTGTGCCCTTTTTTTTAGGGAAAGGCGAAGGAAAACTGGGTAAGGAATCTGGAGAACGTGGAATTCCCTGCAGGAAAGCAGGAGCGCCGAAGAGGCACCGGGATCTCTCCATGGGGCTTTGCCCGAGAGGGATGTGGTCCCGGGAATGCCGTTTTACTCCGGCTCTGTTAAGAGGGATGGAGATCGACCCCATTCCAACCTTTCCCGGTCCCGTATCCCAGGAAATTGACCCCATCCCAGCCTTTCCCGGCCCATGTCCTGGGAATTTGACCCCATCCCAGCCTTTCCTGGCCCATAGCTGAGGAAGTCGACTCCATCCCAGCCTTTCCCGGCCCCGTATCCCGGGAAATTGACCCCATTCCAACCTTTCCTGGCCAATAGCCGAGGAAATCGACCCCATCCCAGCCTTTCCCGGCCCATATCCCGGGAAGTCGACCCCATCCCAGCCTTTCCCAGCCCATATCCCGGGAAGTTGACCCCATCCCATCCTTTCCCGGCCCCTATCCCAGCAGATCGATCCCATCCCATCCTTTCCCGGCCCCTATCCCAGCAGATCGATCCCATCCCATCCTTTCCCGGCCCCTATCCCAGCAGATCGACCCCATCCCAACCTTTCCTGGCCCCTATCCCAGCAGATTGACCCACTCCCAACCTTTCCCGGCCCGTATCCCAGGAAATCAATCCCATCCCGGCCTGTATCCCAGCAGATACCAAATTTTGGAGGAAAAATTGGTTCAAAATCCCTTTTTTTTTCTCTCTTTCCCCCCCAGCCAACGTGACGCTGGACCCGGCCACGGCTCATCCGCGCCTCGTCCTCTCCGCGGATCACCGGAGCGTGCGCTGGGAATACCTGACGCCGGAGCCTCCATCGGATCCGCGCCGCTTCCGCGCCGATCCCTGCGTCCTGGGCAGCGAAGCCTTCACCTTCG